AAAAACCTATGGATGCCGGCCATGAAAGCCTACGACTTCACAATGCAACAAAGCTTCAGATGTGAAAAGCAGACTTCTGTTCTAGCCAATCCTACTGTAGCTGTGTGTGCCTGGCTACAATAGGCAAGGTAAACAAAAGCTCTCTCCAGAATCCCTTATTGAGCAGGCATGGAATGCAAAAGGAGATAACAGATAAACCTGCTTTACCAGCTCCCCATCCCCCAGTATGTTAAAAAAAGAGGTCTATAACTTTGGCACCAAAATGGAAATCGTAAGGGGCTAGTGAAAAAAAGTTGTCCCTGAATGCATTTGGGAATAAGCTTTCAGATGGTCTCAAGAATGTTGAAAATATTTTTGATTACTTTTGCAAGACTTACTTGACTTGGACATATCATTTCACATGTGCCTATTTATTGTTATTTTTGGATTAAAAGTTTGCTGAAACATGTTGAACTGCTCTTCTCTTTTGTGCTGCAGGAACCTATCCCTATTCTTTCCATGTTATTTCTCAATCTGGTACCAAAGTTTCTACTAAAGAAATAATGCCCAGGAACATATCTACTTTGTTAATTGAGGTATTGTTGCTGTGTTCCTTCAAATCATTTCCAACTTGTGGTGACCCCAAGGCAAAGCTGTCAGGGTTTTCTTAGCAAGTGTAACTTGCCAAAGTCACCGAATGGTTTTCCATGGCTGAGTGGGGATTTGAACCTTGGTCTCCAGAGTCATAGTTCAATGCTCAAATCACTACACCATTCTGGCTCTTTATCTGAGATATATATGTATCCATTTTATCCTGACTAGTGACCAAAACAAACTCAACATCTCCATACCAATATAGTTTTGTTTTGCTTCTTTGTTGTTACCGTATTTTCTGATGTATAAGACGATTGGGCATATAAGACAACCCTCAACTTTTACAGATAAAATATAGAGTTTGGGATATACTCGCCATATAAGACTACCCCTCTTATATGCCAAGAAATATGGTATATATATTGCACTCCATTTGCAATCCAGTGGTACCAGACCAACCCCAGCTCAAAATGCCATTATGCCAGTCATATATGTATCTGTGTGTGTGTGTGTATCATATATATCATTATGCTAGTCATATATACATACATACATAGATATAGATATAGATATAGATATAGATAGATAAATAGATCTAGATCTATAGATATAGACAG